TACATAGTTTCAACCACCGCACCATACCGAAATACCACGGTGCTACTGTAGTCTCGGCCATGCATAAATTTTGCTACGCATAATTGTTCGTCTGCGCCAATAGACGGAGGCAGGGCAGCATGCAGCAACAGCGGTGGCCGCAGCGGTGGCCGCAGCGGAGGCCGCGACAGGGAAATTAGCAATCGTCGCTCATCATCTCGCTCGATTTATAATCGCTGCCGACGTTTCTCGCGATCAACCTTCCCGTGATCCTTTCGCCTCGGCGGAGTACGACAATCTCCCGACAGGCACCGCGCGGGTCGCGATCTGGAACCGACGCAGCGCGACCTGGCGGATTTCTCCGGCACATCACTCGTCCAGCCGCGAAGAAAATATGCGATGTTGCGTCGGCGAGACAGCGGCGAACTTCCGGCACGGAAGACGCTGCTGCGTCGTTGTCGCGAGCCCTGGCTGCTGATGACGCGATGTTTTAACGGGTTAATAGACGCGGGATTTCAGCGCAGATGCGTCACGCTTGTCACGCGCGCGTCAGAGCAACGCTCGCAGCCGACCCGAAGCGCGAAAGTTGTGCGCGAGACGAACGCACGAACGCGAGCAGGTTCGCGAAAATTGCGCGTCTGCGGCGTGACGAGTGCAAGTGCGCGCCGGTGTAGCACGCTAGCACATTCTCCCGTGGGGATACCTCATGGGATACGTCCCCATTATACATTAAACGTATGGGCAATGAAGCTAACACCCCGATGCGCATGCGCAATACGCCACGCGCGCTGCTAGATATTCCCATGCCCATGCGTAGTGGATAGGCGGGGTGTTTGCCATAAAGGGTATGTCCATCACGCTACACCGGCGTTACCGCGCGCTGTATCGCGGTATTTGTAGGAGTTTCGACGCGCGCATACAAACAACATCAGTCAAGTTGCCGATGGGATTCACCGTGCGTGTGCGCTCCGCGCGTGTTAACTCTGCAATTACAATCCGCGCGCGCGCCGATATAGATGTTAGATGTTTGTGTATATATATATAGTGATGAAATCGAGGAAAAGATAAAAATGCAACGGCGCGCCTCAAGCAGTTATCCTGCGCCGGGTTGAACGTTGGGTTCGGACCATTACTGCAAACGCTGGCAGCCATCTTGGGTCGGGGTGAACGCGGGGTTCGGACCTATCACCGGCAAGACTGCAATCGCTGGCAGCCATCTTGCGTCGGGGTGAACGCTGGGTTTAGACCTATCGCCGGCAAGACCGCAAACGCTGGGAGCCATATTGGGTCCGGGTGAACGCGGGGTTTAGACCTAACGCCGGCAAGACTGCAAACGCTGGCAGCCATCTTGGGTAGGGGTGAACACGGTGTTAAAACGTATCGCTGACTACTATGCAGAGCCTGGCAGCTATCTTGCCTCGAGGTTCAACCCTCCACTGACTGGTACGTGGACCATGACATCCATCTTTCATTATGCTGAACACTGGTCTAACCCTATCGCAGGCGGGGGCATATACGGTGCAAAATTTCGAAAAATTCTACGTGACATTCGTCGGTCAGTCGTGATTGTTAGATTTTACAAATCGCATGGCGACAACTGCCGACATCGGTCGGCGCAGACGTCGCATCAATTATTGGCCGTCACTTCGTCGTATGAACGAGATTGTTTTGTGCGTGGGTCGTCCAAACTGATTCGTCCTACAGCTTCGAAATTCAACGCGGTTCAATTACCTCATCCTACTCTCTTTCTCGCGCTCTATCTATCTATCTATCTATTTCTCCTACTCTTTTTCTCGCTTCTCTCTCTATCTCTCTCTCTCTCTCTCGCTCTATCTTACTCTTTTTTTCGTTCTCTCTTTCTCTCTCGTGAGTTCGCTCTCCTTCTCTCTGTGTGAGCGCTTGTATGTGTATCTATGACCCTCACCCCTCGCCTTTTATCTACTTCTGCTTCCCGCACGAACTTCTCGACTGGTCTTGCTCACTAATTAAAATTCTCCTCTGGTCGCGCTGCCGCGCAATCTCGACCGTTTCTCCTTCGCCTCTCTATCGCTCTCCATCGCTCTCTATCGCTCTCGGCGAGAAACCAATTATTCATCAAACTATTCGGAAATAATTATCATACCCATACACGCGTGCGCTGCCTGCTTGCAAGCGCCGAGTTTCCCTTCTTGATGACCGCTTGCCACACTCGCTTATGAATGAAAAAGGAAATAAAGTCGAGAAATGGAGCTGATGCTAACGCCGGGTAAGAGAGAGCGAGTATATGTGTGTGTATGTGTGTGTGTGTGTGTGTGTGTGTGTGTGTGTGTGTGTGTGTGTGTGTGTGTGTGTGTGTGTGTGTGTGTGTGTGTGTTGTGTGAGTGGTGAGTGTGTGGTGTGTGTGTGGTGTGTGTGTGTGTGTGTGTGGTGTGTGTGTGTGTGATGTGTGTGCTGTGGGTGGTGAGTGTGTGTGTTGTGGTGTAGTGTTGTGTGTGTGTGTGGTGTGACGTGTGTGAGTGTGTGTGTGTGTGTAGTGTGTGTGTGTGTGTCGTGTGTGTGTCTGTTGTGTGTATGTGTGTGTGTGTGTGTGTCTGTGTGTGTATGTGTGTGTGGTGTGCTGTGTGTTGTGTTGTGTGGTGTGTGTGTGGGCTGTGTGACGTGTTGAGTGTGTGGGTGTGTGTGTGTGTGTATGTGTGTGGTGTGTGTGTGTGTGTGTGTTGTGTGTGTGTCGGTGTGTAGTGTGTGTGTGTGTGTGTGGCGTGTGTGTGTGTGCGTGCACGTGTGTGTACGTGTGCTGTATACGTGTGTGTACGTGTGTGTCGCGCGCGTGATGCGGCATGTGTACGTGTAAGTGTGGACTGGAGGCGGGGCACGAGACAGTTTATAAATCTTGCAATTCGTTGGCGCAGCATGCATTTAAGATGACAGAGAGTATTGAAAGAATGTAGGAAAGGGACAAGATAACGAGAGACAGTAGAAAAGACAGAGAAGAGGCGAGGGAGAAAAGACAAGGGCGTGGAAAGAGAGAGAAAGAGAGAGAGAGAGAGGAGAGAGAAGAGAGAGAGAGAAGACGGAGGGAGAGCGAAAGACAAGAGAGGAAGAAAGAGAGAGAAGGTGAGAGAAAGAGAAGAGGGAGAGAAAGAGAGAGAGGACAGAAAGAGAAGAGGGAAGAAGAGAGAGAGGGAGAGAGAGTGGAGAAAAGAAAGAGAGGAGAGAGAGATAGAGGTTAAATAGCAAACGAGAAAGAAAGAAAGAGAGAGAGAGAGAGAGAAAAGGGAGAGAGAGAGAGAGAGAAGAAGAGAGAAGAGAGAGGGAGAAGAAGAGAGAGAGACAGAGAGAAAGAACGCGAGAGTGGAGAGAAAGATATATAAAATTCTATAACTTGTTTTGGTGCACGTTCGAAATAAATCATCTGCCTTCGCCTGGGAGTTGTCATCTTAGCGAATGTTCTCTTGTGAAGATGGGGCGCGCGTGTAGATTCATAAATAAGCGTCATCGAACGGGCACGCCGATTTTGCAAAATAAAAATTTAATTTAATTTGGCTTGTTAGTACAAAGATGGCCGTTTGTTGACGCGCATTTGCGTGTGAGACGAAGCAGAAGCCCTAGGGTAAAAGGCAATGTGGCGGTATCAAAGGCAAAGCAATCTAGCAATTTATGACAATCAACAGATTCGCGAGGTGCGTGTGTGCGGGTGCGTGTACGCGCGTGTACGCACACTCGTACTACGTGCTTACGTGCGTGTGTGGGGCTCGTATCGCCTTGTGCACATCGTAAATGAAGCTTCGCTCCGACACGACGTGTGTGCGTGTGTCGTTATTATGCGCGCAGCTCACGTCTGCCAACAGTGTGCGTGTGTGTGTGTGTGTGTGTGTGTGTGTGTGTGTGTGTGTGTGTGTGTGTGTGTGTGTGTGTGTGTGTGTGTGCGTACGTGTGTGTGTGTATGTTCGTGTGCGTGTGCTCTTACGTGTGTGCGTGCTTGGGCGTGTGCGTGTGTGCGTGCGTGTACAGCAGATTCTTCGCTCTCGTGAAGCCATCGGCGTGCGATCATTGCTAAGGCCATCCCCTCCCGCCAGCGCTTAGTACGCAATAAAGTTACGTCTTCGTGGAGCCACGAAAAGATTCAATATATTCTCTATATATTCAATATAGGTGAAAAAACAACCTCTTCCTGCTCCGAAAGTGTTCCACAGTTCGGCTGCTAATAGGATTTGTGCTAATACAATGCGCGGAGATTTTCGAAAGCGCCGAGCGGCAATAAGCAAGCTGCGCTTAATTCTCACGACGACATTTTAATGAGCAATTCAATCCAATTATATGCCGCAAGACAGACGGCTTACCGGAAACCCATTATGCGGAAAATTTTGAAAGCATCTGCGGATCGAATCCACCGTGTTAATCACCAGCTCATGTTGTGCTCGTGTCAACACACGTATTATATATACGTTACACCAGCGGAAGGCTCGCTCTTATGTCATTAAGCGTCCTGAGAGAAATGATATTGGAATAGTACAAGAACATAAAATCGAATTTCATTATTCATGTCAAGTCTTTGTCATAATGGACATATTTTATTTGGAAACAGCGCGACGAACATGTTCCACGCGGAGTATGTGCGTAACGGATCTTTCGCATTGATTTCGTTTCGGTTTACCGCTTGCGTTACACTTCTTCGAAGAAAGCAATTTATATCTGTCACCTCTTCGTTTTCTAAGACTGATTGACGTAAAATTGTTACTGGAGATTTTTTCACGTCGGTTCTCTTGTTGTTTGTTTAATATTATTAACGATTCCTGCGTCTGTATACACACTGGTTTTTTTTATTCATTTCCATCTTCACAGTTGGGTGCCCAGACTTTTTAACTTTAATGCGTACCGCGCATAAGCTAATAAGTATAGCACAGAAAAAACGCACGCAGAGCTATGCCCAGCGGAAACATGCACATTGTACATAATGAGAATACGATGTTATTGCATGATTCAAAATTAATCACACAAAAAAAACAACTTTATACACCTAAATGGCGGTGGGGCTCACTCACCTTTCACGACATCGCCGTTCTCTCGCAGCGCTACCGTTGCGTCGTACGCGTCCTCGTATATGATTGGCTGCTTCGCCGGCGGTAGCTCGAAGCCCTCGCCAACGCGCTGCGCGAGCGAGTCGACGACCTCTAGCGGCGAGTGCTGGAAGCGCGTGTCAGGCGGAAGCGGATGTTCGGACTCGTTCCAGTCGGCAGGTATTTCCTCGACGATGACGAGGCTCGCCTCATGCAGGTCGAGCGTCTGAGCATGCGCGCCGCCATCGTCATCGTCGTCCTCGCCAGGTCGCTTCTCCAGTTCGTACACGTACATGCCCGTCTTGTTCACCCTGATGATGAACTCGATGGAGTCGTTAACGTAGACGACCTCGCTCTTCTGCGCAGACGCAGCTACAGCTCTCAGACGATCGTCTGCCTCAAGCTGCAGCTGCTGCTTCTCACCCTCTCCTTCCTCTTCCTTTCCCTTCTCCTCTTCCTCTCCCTCTCTCTCCTTCTCCGCTTCCTCCTCCTCCGCGTCCTTATCTTCGTTTGTATGTCGATAATTGTTTTGGGACGCGCTCGCTTCCGGTTCGTCTGCCTGTTCTCGTCCCGGATCGGGACGAAGCGTCGCGACGTGACGTCGGCTCTCGTTCAAGTCTCGACCGACGGTTTCGTCGTCGTTGTCAGAATCGTCGACAGAGGGCGGAGCGGCCGCCGACGTCGCAGATTTCTGCGTCTGCGCGATCGCCGGCGCCGGACGTGACGTTGCCGCCGCCACGTCGTCGTCGCTAGTTTCCGTTTCCGCCACGCTCAGGCTAATCGAGATCGTGCCGTTGTCGGTTGCCGACGTCAGCGTGTCTCCAACCATTCGCCAGGTGGCGTTGTTTCGAATGTGTTCGGCTTCCGCTTGCGTCGACTGACCTTGAGGCGTTCCCGCGCTGCCCGAAGCGCTGGGTCGCGGCTGCACCGTCGCCGATGACATCATCACGAACACAATGAACACGTGACACGCCGCCATCATCGTGGCTGTGGTGGGCGTCGAGCTGTCAACCTAAACAAGCGTGAATGAGAGAGGGACAGACGTGTTAATACAAATCCAGAGCTTTCAACATTGCAGACGTGACAAGGCAGAGTGGGGGCGGGAAGAAAAATAAAAAGAAAGAAAAAAAGAAAGAAAAGTGAGATAAGGAGCGGTGTGTGTGTACTTGTGTGTGCGCGCGCATGCGTATGTACGTGTAAGTGTGATTGGAGCGGAGACGAGCCAGTTTACAGTTTACACATCTTGTAATTCTTGACGCAGCGGCACTTTAGATGACACAAAGTATTGACAAATGTAGGAAGGGACAGATCACGAGAGACAGTGAAAGACAGAGAGAGAGAGAGCGCAAGAGAGAAATAGCGAGAAAGAGAGAGAGAGAGACAGAGAGAGACAGAGAGAGAAAGAGAGAGAGAGAAAGAGAGAGAGAGAGAGAGAGAGAAGAGAGAGAGAGAGAGAGAGAGAGAGAGAGAGAGAGAGAGAGAGAGAGAGAGAGAGAGAGAGAGAGAGAGAGTAGAG